CAGGAGGAGGGAGAAAGTGTTGTGTTGAGGATCTGTCTAGCCGCTGGGTTTATGCCTCAACTTCTTAGGGGGTCGGTTGTCTCCAGGCCAATTCCGGAACAAAGAACGGAAACTGCCTCCCCAGAGTCCATGGCATTGTATTATTGTGTCCCGAGCCTTGGTTTGCCAGCAGCTGGGAATGGGCGACGGGATGGATGGCTTGATGATTCCCTGTTCTGTTCATTCCCTCTGGGGCACCTGGCACTGGGCTAGCTGGACCTTTGGTCTGACCCAGGCTGGCCGTTGTTATTCACTGGCACCGTCTCTGTGCTCGGCGCCGGTCAGAATGTGCCAGGAAATCCACGTAGGAACCGTGTAGCCCCTGCTCTCCCCGACCCGATTCTCTCTGGCCTAGCAGGTCCCACCAGCTTGGCTTGACCGTGCTCCGCCGGGGAACAAGCGGATCCCAAAGCCACTTGGATTTGTGACCTCGGCAGTGATGTGGTGCTGGCTCTCCGGAGATGAGGCCAAGGGACCCCTGCCCCACTCCCTGCTCCCCAGACTGAACTCCTGGCTCCCCGGGGAGCTGCTGGGGCTGAAGGGAGCTCCCAGGCAGGCGTTTGCGGCCGGCTGTTGAGCTTGGATTGTCTCTTTGCAGAGACCAGCCTCGGGCCGTCGCTAACCCAGCGAGGGGAGTGGCCGCCCCAGGCGGGAAGGAAACCCTGCGTTGAGTCACGCAAGGTACCATGGAGCGAATGGATTGACCCAGTTCAGGGCCATTGCACCTGGATTTCTTCTCCGGGATGGCTCCCACCCGTGGGCGGCTGGTCCTGGCCGGGGCGGAGACCCGTGTCTGTCTGTCTGGCCAGCCCCCTGCCTGTGCGGTATTCCCGGCTCCCCAGAGCCAGCGCAGAGTGACTGGTGACCGACCACCTGCTTCTTCCTAAGCAAGCGTATTTTATCCGTAAGGTAAAAACACGAGAGAGAAAACTGAGCAGAGACCCCCCCCACCCCAGCCCCCATCTCCACAAAGGCTCTGGTCAGTGTCCTTCTCTAAGACCTGCCCCCCCCGACTCCTGGTCGTTCGCTGGATCAGAACAAAGCCCGGAGCCCGGTTAACATGTCCCCCCCCGGTCCCTGGAGACTCCAGGGGGAATCAGCTGCCAGTCGCTCCGGGGGGGCTCCATAGGGCTGATAGCAGGAGGAATCCCTCAGCGCTCCCCCCCCCCCATCTCAGCCTAACCCAGCCCCAGCTGCATTGCAAGGCACCTGCCCCCCAGGGGTTACGCGCTGGTCAGGAAGCTTCGTGGTTGTCCTGTTGGTCCCAGGAGCAGCCGGAAGACCCGCTGCCCGACTAACTGGAGCCGGGGAAAGGAGCCAGGGTAACGTGCGCAGGAGGAGAGGGGCCGGGCCGGGCGCTCGGGCGCTGGCGTTGCCTTGACGAAGCTGCTAATTGCCGTGAGGTGCCCGCCGTGGGGGAGGCGAAGGGGTGGCCAATGCGGTGCAAACCTCCTGTCCCGGCGGAGCCGCAGTCCCTGGGCAGGGGGTGGAAGGCGCTGGGCCAGGGGCCGACGTGGGGGCGGCACGGCCGGGGATGCTGACTCAGCAGCATCGCTCCCATTTGTACAGATGGGAAAACTGAGGCCCTTCCCCTCCATTAACCACCCCCTCCCTGTGGGGCTGTCATGCTTATAAGAAGCACCCGGGATCTTTCTCAGGGGAAAAGGCAACACTCCTCGTTTACAGGCGAGGCTGGTGACCTCGGGGAAGGGGCTCCTGAGCACGGGGCGGGAGCCAAGCGCCAGCGTAAACGCAGCGCGACTCCCCTGGGCTGGCTCCTCGGTGGCCGCACAGCGGCACGGCCCCCCGGTTGAGGACTCTGGCCCCGCACCTGCAGCGCCGCGACTCCAGATTTGTGCCCGGTCTCCGCCCCGGCCAGGACCAGGCGTAAGAGCAGAAAACAGCCCCGTGCAAGTAACTTGGACCCGTTACAATCCGGTGTGTTTCAAAGTAGCAGCCGTATTAGTCTGTATCCGCAAAAAGAACAGGAGGACTTGTGGCACCTTAGAGATGAACACATTTATTTCAGCATAAGCTGTCGTGGGCTACAGCCCACTTCTTCGGATGCATAGAGTGGAACACACAGACAGAAGATATTTATACATACAGGGAACATGAAAAGGTGGAAGGATGCATACCAATTGTAAGAGGCCAATCATTGAGATGAGCTATCAGTAGCAGCAGAAGAAAAAACTTTGAAGCGATAATCGAGATGACCCACAGAAGGTGTGAGGAGAACTTAACATGGGGGAAAAAACTTCAATGAGTGTAATGACCCAACCATTCCCAGTCTCTGTTTAGACCTAAGTTAATTGTGTCTAATTTGCATATGAATTCGAGTTCAGCAGTCTCTCTTTGGAGTGTGTTTTTGAAACTTTTTTGTTGCAAAACTGACACCTTCAAGGCTGTCACTGAGTGATTAGAGAGGTTGAAGTGTTCTCCCACTGGTTTTTGAATGTTATGATTCCTGATGTCAGATTTGTGTCCATTTATTCTTCTGCCTAGAGACTGTCCAGTTTGGTCAATGTACATGGCAGAGGGGCACCATAACATTCAAAAACCAGTGGGAGAACACTTCAACCTCTCTAATCACGCAGTGACAGCCTCACTCGTTGTGGCTCGCTAGGGGGCAGGTGCCGGTATCCGCGCGTAAGCTGGGCACGTGCAGGGGGGAAGCTTGCGAACACAAGGCAAAGGGTTATTCAGCTTGCTGTGATTGTGGGCAGAGTTAGGCTAAAGGCCGGGATTTAGCCGAGCAGCGAAGGCGAGAACCACAGGTCGGCTATTGGGCACTTTCACGTGCGAGCCAAATGGGGCTCGCGCGCCGCGGGATGCTGCAAAGCGGGGGCTCGGGGGGCCTTTGCAGGGAGGTTGCTTTGCCGGGTCTGTGCGGTCCGGCTGTGTTGACGTAGAGGAAGGGTTAAGAAAGAAGTGATGGAAATGTTAACGCTGGATGCTTAGTCATGGGAACCCGAAAGGCCATATATGGGTCAGGGCAACGCTGGGCTGTTTGTAGCTAAGGCCTGGCCCGAGGTGAGTCATTAACACGGGGGGCGGCTCATCCCTTGGGCGCTAGGAATTGGGAGGTCAATGAATCAGTGGGTTGGAAACTGGACTTTTGTGCTAAAGAAAAGATGTAAATACGTCAGGAGGCTCGAAAGACGACGGCCGCGGCCGCTCGGAGAAGGAAACCACCCAGGGAGTGGCTGACTAGGACCTAGATAACACGGGAGACTGCCAGTTACGAAAATAGAGATGAGGCAAAGAGGAAGTTGAATCACAGACAGTGCGTGGCCAGGGCTTGCTCCCTGCTACAGCCCCAAGCCAACCGTAAAAGGGCTGATGCGCCGGCTCGGCCAGGCAATGCGGGGTGTAAAAGCGAGTTTCTGGGGTTCTTTGGGGCTGGGATGTTCCCCGCACCCACCCCACTGCGTCTGAGTCTGAGCAGCTCAGCGCAGTGTGGCTGGATGTCAGATAAAGAGCCCCCCAGGGACCGGCTGGAGTCAAGCTGAGCTCTTGGGAAGGGGGTGGGGGGAATCCCAACAACTATAATCCGGGTCAAGAATCGAATACGGTTCCCATTTCTTTGGGTGCGTCTGGTCTCCCAGATGGGTTAAACTGAATCAGGGCCTGCTTTCTGATGGGCTCCACTGACTGTCCCTCCACCTCGGTTTCCAGCCGGCTCCGTAAGTTGTACGGATGCACCGTGCGAGCAACTCGGGAACCCGCCACACGGTGCTTATCCTAGTGCAGTGGGTCTCAAACTTGTGTACCGGTGACCCCTTCCCCCGGCGAGCCTCTGAGTGCGACCCCCCCCTTGTAAACGAAAACCATTCTTTTAATATTTTTAACACCATTAGAAACGCTGGAGGCGAAGCGGGGCTTGGGGTGGAGGCTGGCAGCTCGCGACCCCCCACGTAATAACCTCGCGACCCCCTGAGGGGTCCCGACCCCCTGGGCTGTTCTAATCGGCGTGGCTATGGAGTCTGGCCTAGGATTTCAGGGGAGGGGTCTGTATTAAATACGGTTTCCGGGTGTGTTTCGCCCCATTTCACCTTCTCCATGAACGTGAAGTAACCGCCTAGAAAAAGGCCCTTTTAGCGGTGACACGAGCGTGTTGCGTCTCAATACAGAATCTTTTACGTGTGAGGCTTGTTCGGGCTACAAGGAATTGTGTTCGCTAACCTGTGCGGTGCTCCAGCCTATCCAGGCAGTCAGATCTCCTGCTTCAGGGCCGGAAGGAACATCCCTCTCCCGCCCAGTGTGCCCTGGGGAGCAGGGGACATCCGGGGGCTGGGAGGGGAGGCAGGCGGCAGGGGACTGAGCCGAGGGGGGGGGGGATTGGCCAAGTGGAAGGCACGGACCAGGGGGACTCTCGCGCCCCAGTTAAATGCCGCCACTGTCCCAGCTCCCAGTCGTGGAGATGAGCAAAGCCTGGAGCTGGTGGTGATGCAAAGCCGAGTGTGAGGAGCAGCTGCCTGGCTTCTAAAGGGAACCGCCCTGTGCTCCAATGCCCACAGCTCAGCCCAGGGCCGTGAGAGCACCACGGACTAGTCCTCCTCTGCCCGTTCCTCGGCCGCTCCTTCCGCATCAGCCCCGGCCTGCCCAGCTCCTCCCGCCCTGGGGCCGGGCAGGTTCCTCCACAAATGTTTATAATCTTTTGTTCCTGTGGCTGTCTCCACAGCATCGAGATGCAGCCAGCTCTGGGGTGGAACGTGGCCGCACGTCACAAAGCTAGGAAGAGTCCCGTTGCCCGTGGGAACTGAGCGCGTTCATGCAGGTGAGAGACCCAACCGTCTTCCGAGCCCTGTTTCCTAACCACCCCCTCTCGGCGGGGCTGATATGCTTATAAGACGCACACAGGATCTTTCTCAGGGGAAAAGGCAACACGCCGCGTTTACTGGAGATACAACAATTAGCATATGCATTTAATCACAACACACACACACACACTCCCGCCAGTCGATGTTCTAGTTACCAGTCCAGAGTCCGGATCAATCTCGTGGCCAGCTCGGTTGATCATGGGTAGGGAGGAGCCGGGCTCCGTCGGTCGCGACACGATGCTCCGGGGAAGTCTTGGCAGGATGAAGTTTCCTGGCAAGGCCCCGTTTACATAGTGATTTTCCTTCATCGGGACCAATGAGTTTTGCAGCGTCCTGCTGTGATCAATTGTTGTTTGACGAGGGCTTGTTTTCTGAAATTGTCCTTCTCAGCCTTTATCTGGTTCTTCCATCGAGTCCCTCAGGGAGTTACCCCAGGCTGGGTTTGACCACAGCTCTCTTGTCCCCATCTCATCTTTAGAGTCGTCAGCCTGCCCTCCTCTGATAGCGACGGCCTTCACGCTTCTCTCTCAACACCCGTTCCTCAGTCGCACACAAACCAGAATTCGTTCACACGGAGCCTTTTGAACCGGAACATCAAGTTGCAATGCAGACGAACAACAATCCGGGCCTTTTTTGACTTATTTTAACATGCTAAACCTACAGCAAAGGGGTGACCCTCCCAGGTCTGTCACTGCCTTGAAATCAGCCCAGACACAGAGACAGGGCCGCCCAGAGGGGTGGGCAAGTGGGGCAATTTGCCCCAGGCCCCGAGCCCCACAGGGGCCCCCACGAGAATATAGTATTCTATAGTATTGCAACTTTTTTTAACGGAAGGGGCCCCCAAAATTGCTTTACGCCGGGCCCCCTGAATCCTCTGGGCAGCCCTGCACAGAGAGATTCTGGCTGATGCATCTCTCCCAATGGCCCATTCGGCCGTTCAGAAAGGGTGGCTGCCAGGAGAATCACAGATATCACAGCCACACGTTTGACACGGGCTACGTGATGATCTCCTTAGTCTTTATCCTTCAGTCTAAATGATACAAAATACAAACATGAAACCCTCCTCCTCCCTTGCAGGCTCCGTGATGGCGGACGACCATGAAGGGGACCAAGCTGCTGACAGTGGCCTTGGCCCTGCTGACGCTGCTGGCCCTGAAGGCCTACATTGACTGGAGCTTGGATCAGCCCAAGGGCCTGCCCCACCCTGAGCCCGCCTGGGCCACCACCCCCCTCCTGCTGGCCGAGCCGCTGGGGGACGACCCGGTGGGGCTGCTGCTCCGTCTCAACGCCTCGCTGCGGCGGCTGCGCGGCAGCGTGCCCGAGGCGGACGCCTACTGGAACCGCCAGCAGCATGGGCTCTTCCGGGCGCTGGAGGGGGGCCCGGCCAACGGCACGTGGGGCTGCGGGGACGGGCTGGCCGCGGCGGCCGCCATCAGGGACTTCGCCTCGTACCCGGAGCAGCACCAGCGCTTCGTGCTGCACGCCGAGTGCCGCAGCTTCCCGCTGCTGGTGAACCAGCCCCGCAAGTGTGCCGGCAACCGGACCTTCCTGCTGCTGGCTATCAAATCCGTGCCAGGCAACTTCGCCGCCCGCCAGGCCGTGCGGGAGACCTGGGGCCGGGAGGGGGAGCCTGGGGGGCAGCCGGTGCGCACCCTCTTCCTGATGGGCGCGGCCCGCGGGCAGCACCAGCCTGACCTGCGGCACCTGATCGCCTACGAGAGCCGGGCCTACGGCGACGTCCTGGTGTGGGACTTCGAGGACACGTTCTTCAACCTGACCCTCAAGGATTTCCTCTTCCTGGGCTGGGCGCTGGCGCACTGCCCTGACGCCCGCTTCGTGCTCAAGGGCGACGACGACGTCTTCATCAACACGCCGCGGGTGCTGGCCTTCCTGGGGCCGCTGACCGGGCGCCGGGCCCAGACACTCTACACCGGGCAGGTCATGGCCAACGCCTCCCCCTTCCGCCAGGCCACCAGCAAGTACTACATCCCCGAGTCCTTCTACGCCGGGCCGTACCCGGCCTACGCCGGCGGGGGCGGCTACATCTTCTCGGGCCGCCTGGCCCCGGCCCTCTTCCTGGTGGCCCAGCACCTGGCCTTCTACCCCATCGACGACGTCTACACCGGGCTGTGTTTCCAGGCGCTGGGGGTGCGGGCCGAGGCCCACCCCGAGTTCCAGACCTTCGACATCGCCGAGAAAGACCGGGCCGACCCCTGCGCGCACCGCCAGCTGCTCCTGGTGCATCGGCGCAGCCCCCAGCAGACTGTGCGGCTGTGGCGGCAGCTGCATGACCCCCAGCTGAAATGCTGACCGGGGGGAGGCTGAGCTGGCCAAGAACGGGCCAAGCGGAAACATGGGCTCGGCTCTCTGCCGCCAGAACCGCAAATTCCCTCCCGTTGTGTTTCCCCGGCCCCCCAGCAGCGAGGCAGGCGCTGGGCCATGGAACTGGGCGGGAGCTGTGTGCACCCGGGGGCGGGGGGCACTGCCCTGTCGTTCCCGGACGGGCCATTAAAGAGTGCCTGGCAGGACTCGTCTCGCTGCTTGGCATGGGTGCGAATCGAGGCGCTCTGTGCAATTCCCCGTCTGTCCCCACCCTGGCCAGCCACTGAGTGTAGCAGACCTGGCTGTGGATCTCGCCGAGGCCAGCGCAGCCTCTAACCAGCCGGCCCAGGATGCCCCGTGCTGGCCCCGTAACCCCCAATGCCGCTCGGGGGGCCGGGACCCTCGGCCCAGGGCGCCCCTGCGAGTGGGCAGCCGGGCGTCGCAGCGCCAGGCTGGGCTCGGCTACACTCCCCCCCCTGGTGCCGGCAGGAGACGCTCCCCCCTGGGAGGCACAGCCGAGGGCTCCTGCCACCTGTAACCCCAGCGACCTGCCCCCCGTGTCCCACCCTGAACCGCCTGCTAACCCCGGCCAGGACTGGAGACTCCTCGGGGCCGGTTGGGGGGTCGGGAACTCCCCCACCAGCCTGAGGCCAGGGCTGCGGGCAGAGGCTGAGGCCGGCTGGGACCCGGGGAGGGGGTACAAGGGACGCGGAGACGCGGAGCAGTTAGCACATAGAAAGTTTATTGACCCCCCCCACCCCGCCCCGCCCCGCCCCCCGGCCCCCCGGCCCCCCGGCCGGGGTTGCCCCCCCCCCCCCCCCCCCCGCCATGTAACAGCACGACGGGCGCTGCCCCTCCCAGAGCAGCCCCCGACTATCCTACGTGTAACAGTGCTTGGGGGCTGCCCGGCCAGGGAGCGGCTCCGCCCGGCTGACTCGCCGGTTCAACCCCCGCCCCACCACCACTCACCGGAGCCTAGAAAGCCAACCCAGAGGCTGAGTTAGGAGATTGCAGTAAAATAGCCTGACCCCCCCGGATCCCACAGCATCCGGCGCCAAGCGCGGGGGGGCACACGGCCGTCTCCCGGCTGCAGCCGAGCTGTGCCCACCCCCTGCAGCGAAGCGGCTCCCTGCCCCTGCCTGGGGCAGCTCCCCCGGCTACAGGGACAAGCAGCCCCGGCGCCCGTCCACCCCCTACCCCCCAGCCTGCCCTCCCTGACCCGGGCACCCCGACTCTGGGCTGGGGAGGCCGCAGGCAGGGCAGCGAGGGGACCCGCCGGCCTGCGGGAGGCCAGGAGAGCCCAGAGACGGGGTAGCCACGAGCCCAGGCACATCTACGCCTGGGGGGGGCTCTGAGCTAGGAATTCCCCCGGGGGCCAGGCCCGCTGCCCCAGTGACCGTGGCCCCCCACTGGACTTGCTCACACCCGGGGATCCCGCCCCCGGCCTGGCGCGGCCAAGGGAAACTGAGGCAGGTCCCGGGCGCAGGGAGGGGCGGGGTGAGCGGGCTGCCCCCCCCCCGCGGGGACCTCACTTCTCGAAGTGCTCCAGGGGGTAATGCTCCCCGTAGAGCCGGAGGTGCCGTGCCAGCGCCTCCTGCTGCTTCTGCAGCTGCGGGGGCATCTCGCAGTACACGTCCGAGAACAGGTGCTGCGGGCTGGGCTTCAGCTTCCGCTCCGCCTGCTCGAAGGCCTCCATCACCTGGCGGGGGGAGGCAGCGTTAGCCAGCGCCCTGCCCCGCCCCTGGGCCCCGCCCCCTGCTTTGCCCACTGGGCCCCGCCCCACCCAGAGCCAGGCAGGACCCAGGAGTCCTGGCTCTCATGTGCCCTGCTCCGCCCACTGGGCCCCACCCCCCTGCTCTGCCCTGGCTCCCAGCCTCCCTGGGCCCCACTCCCCTGCTCTGCCCTGGCTCCCAGCCCCCCTGCTCCACCCACTGGGCCCCGCCCCCTCCCGGAGCCAGGAGAGAACCCAGGAGTCCTGGTCCCCAGCCTGCCCCTCTTCTTAACTCCCAGAGTGGAGTCGCTCTCCCCAGCCCTGGTGGGGCAGCCCCCTCACACCGGGTGCCGGCCGAGCCCCCTGGGCAGCCCGGGGGGGACGGACCCCCCTCACTCACCCTCTTGCGGGATTTCTTCCTCCAGCTCTTCTCCTGCTCCTCGTCCCACCAGCCCCGGCCCAGCATGTGGTGGCGCAGGCGGGAGATGGGGTGGTCCTGCTTGTCCCAGTAGTTCACCTCGTCCACCGAGCGATAGGCCGAGCTGTCATCACTCGTGCTGTGGTGCCCAATCCTGGGGGAGGAGGAGGATCAAGGCGTGAGCCCCGCCCTGCTGGTTGGGTGCCCCCCCGCCCCGTGGCCCCGCCCCACCTGTAGGTCATGGCCTCGATGAGGAAGGGCTGGTTCTCGGCGATGGCCCGGCGCCGGGCCTCCCGCGTGGCGTTGTACACGGCGAAGACGTCGTTCCCGTCCACGCGGATGGACATGATCCCGTAGCCGGGGCCGCGGGCCGCTGGGGGCAGAGAGATGCTGCCGGTCACGCACTGAGCCCCGGGGCCAGCCCCCCTGCCCCAGCCGTGCGGAGTGGGGGACTCTGCGTACTGCAGGGGGACCCCCCCCGGCTCTCTCTCTCACTGCCCTGGCATCGCCTGAGAACGGGGCGGGGGGTCACCCTGCTAGTGAGCTGAGTCCAGGAGGGGAGAAGGGAGGAGCTGACCCATGCTGGGGAGCCCAGGACCCCCCCGAACGGTGAGTGAGCAAGGGGTACTGCAGGGGGCTATGGGGCGGCTCTGCCGGGCTGAGCGCGGCCTGGCTTCCCAACGGGGGGCAGAGGGGCGGACAGAGGAGTGGGAAGGGGTCGCGTCCCAGGGCTGGGCAGCCGGACAGCGGATTCCGGCTCTCATGGGAGGGTGGGCGACTGGTCTGCACCCCAAGTGTGCGCCTGGGGACCCCCAGAGCCTGGGATGAGTCACAGCAGGCTGGTGGGTGGCTGGCAAGGGGTGCCGGACTGGATCTGTGACCCCCAACTCCCCTCTTGCCCCACTGCCGCCCCCCGGCCCCGCACCGATGCCGTCGCCCCGGTACTGCTCCGAGGTGGGCGTGGAGATGGCGTAGCCGTTGTTGCGGCAGAAGAAGAGGATGGGGCACTCCAGGGTGGCGGCGAAGTTGAAGCCAGCGTGGGCGTCGCCCTCGCTGGCCGCGCCCTCCCCGAAGTAGCAGATCACGGCCCGGCTGGCGTTGTCCCGCTTGAAGGCGTAGGCGGCCCCCACGGCTGTGGGCACAGAGCGGCGGGGGGAGGGGTTAATGCAGGCTCCCTAGCAGGGTGCCGGGGAGACTGGCCCAGAGCCTCCCTTGCCCCCGGCCAGCAGGGGGGCAGGGCTCTGCCTCCGGGCCCTGTCGTGAGGCTTGGGGGCTGCGGATTGGGATTAACGGGCACCAAGGGGTTGGGGGGGAGCCCGGGGAGTAGGCTACGGGGTCAGGCTGAGGAGTGTCAGCCATGCAACACGGGGCAGTACAGATCTGGGGGGGGGAGCCCAGGGCTGGGCTAGCAGGGGCTGTAGGTCGGGAGTGAGGGGCTGCGGGTCGGGAGTGAGGGGCACTGGCAGGGCTGGGGGGAGCCCAGGGCCAGGCTAACAGGGGCTGCAGGTCGGGAGTGAGGGGCACCGGCAGGGCTGGGGGGGGCAGGGCTGGGCTGGCAGGGGGCTGTGGGTCAGGATTTCCCCCCAGCCCCTTTGGGAGGTGGCTGCCGTCCGACGGCCTGTGGGGCACTCGAGGGGTTCAGAGCCCCAGCGGCCCATGAGGGCCTCACCTTGGGGGATCTGCGTGGCCAGCGGGGACGAGATGGTGACGAAGTGCCGGTCTCTGCAGCCGTAGTGCACCGGCATCTGGCGCCCTTTGCCGGTGTCGCTGGCGTTGCCGTAACACTGGGCCATGAAGAGGTCCAGGGGGTAACCCCGGTACATCAGCACGCCTGGGCCGAGAGAACCGCAGCCGGGTTGAGCAGGGAGGCAGGGTCGGGGGCATCCCCGGTGCAGCCAGCCTGGGTCCCCCACCCCGGCATCAGAGCGCCTGCCCAACGAGGGAGGGGCTGGAAATCAGTTTTAGCCCGGCGTCCCAGGACCAAGGTGGGAGGTGGCCGGGTGCTCCCCTGCTGGCATGGCCGTGAGGCTGCTTTACGCCGCCCCCTAGTGACCACTGCCTGGAACAGCCCCGCCCCGCTGGCTGGGCGCACTGGCAGGGAGGGCGGCTGGGACGAGGGGCGTTAAACCCAGGCTGATTCGCCGTCACCTGCTTCCCGGTACTGCCCGAACACCAGGTCTGTGTCATCCAGCGCCGCGGCGCTGCCCACGTGCGTCCCCTCCTCCCCGTAGTTCGTCATGTAGAAGGAGATCCTGCCCTGGCAAAGGAACAGGGCATTAGTAACCGTGGGGGTGCAGTGCGAGGGGTGGGCACGGGCCACAGTCCTCATCAGTGTGGGGGAAACAGGCACGGAGCAGGGAAGTGCCTTGAGCGGGGGCACAGAGTCAGCAGCAGAGACAGGACTAGAACCCAGGAGTCCTGGCTCCCAGCCCCCCCTGCTCTAACCACTTGACCCCACTTCCCTCCCAGAGCTGGGGATAGAACCCAGGAGTCCTGGCTCCCAGCCCCCTACTCTAACCCACCAGCCCCCACTTCCCTCCCAGAGCTGGGGAGAGAACCCAGGAGTCCTGGCTCCCAGCCCCCCCTGCTTTAACCACTAGACCCCACTCCCCTCCCAGAGCCGGGGAGAGAACCCAGGAGTCCTGGCTCCCAGCCCTGTGCTGTGGTAAATTAACGCTGCCGCGAGCTAATCCCACGATGGACGGACGCCGAGGCAGACAAGTGCAGAGCACCTCACGTCGGAGGGCGAGAAAGGCCGACTCCAGGTTGGGGCCTGGCTGGCTGGGGACCGCCGACAAGCAGGGGGGGCTACAGGTGCCACACACTGGAGGATTCGGCAACGCGACGCAGCTGTGAGAAAGGCGACTCTGGCGTGTGTTACCAGGAGCGTCGGACGGGAGACTGGGTCAGAGCCGCCGGGGTCCTTCCCTTGGCCTCCTCTGCCGTCCCAGCCCCCCCCAGCACGCGCAGCCCCCCAGCCGACACACCTGCCTCTGCGACTCGTACAGGATCCGGTCCATCGTGTTGAGCAGCGTCATGGTCTTGTAGAACTTCAGCACCTGCT